GTCAACTCGACGCCCGTGCATCTTCTTCCATGGTTTGGGCTCCGACACCGAGGATACAACGCTGCAAACCACCTCCGATTACTTTGGTGATCTCTCGGATAGTGCACCGTGTTGCACCTCTATTAGATACGCCGTCCTTAATACCGTCGACTATACGTGGACAGATGCCACATTACAACAGAAAGTATGCAACTTCGCCATCTCTGTGAGCAGTACAAGCAGTTCGTCATCGAAGACGATCGCGGACACAATTATCGTGACGCACTCCATGGGTGGTCTAATGATGGGCGGCGCGTTGGCCAATGGCCGATGCTGTTTGGCCTCTAGTAGCACGTGGGTGAGTGTGAGTGCTCCGATGACTGGTAGTATGGGCTCCGACTACCTGCAGAACGCTTGTAGCGGAAGCAATGGTTTCCTTCAGGCTGTAGCCAACCTCATCGGCCAGTGTCCTGCCAATAACGCTGTCCTCGGGATGGCGTATCAGAACGAGGCGCACAGCACCTCAGCTCTGAACTCAGCGTATGTAGCGGCTCAGTCTGCTTTCCGGTCAAACGTCGACGCTGCGATGTGCAGTAACAATTACTCGGGTTTGTTGTCACTGTACCAGGCGGTGTACAAATTGGCAGGGGCCGTCATCCCTCACAAATCGAGCGAAAACGATGGTGTCGTCGAGTACCAGAGCTGCGCTGGAGGTCTTTCCACTTCAAAGTCTGGAAACAACTACGCCGATACCTTCTACGTGACCGGGCTTAACCACGACGACACAGCCTTCCGGAACGGTGACGCCCTCATCGTGAACTCGCAAAAGCCTGTCAAGTGGTTTGAGTGCCTGCTATAAGCGAGGATAGCACCGAACGAGTACGCCATATCAGTACGAACAGGCGTGACGGGATGAGACACAAGCCTTGAGCTTTCAAGAAGCAGGCGAATTCGTAATTGTAAGTCAAATCAAAATAGTCTTCATGAAAACGGTTAGGCACAATTTATTGTGCCGCTTGTCATTTATTTTAGCGACCGGTTATTTAAAGTCATGGCTGCGATTTTTTGTAGACAATTTTCGTGAGCTTTTGTCTTTAGCTCTTAATTGCGAATTTTACAGATGTGATTTGATTTCGGATGCTTCACTTTTACGACTGGTCAATCCAAATGGCGGCGTCGTTGAGCGGAACGAACTTGGTGCCGTTGTGTACGAGCTCTGAGGGATCTAATGACCGGGGCCTTCGCCTCCATGATGCTGGCGTGGACATTCTCCATGGAGCCAAGATTTCGTCACGAAAAGTGGCGCTCGTTGGCGTGCTCTACGTGCCGGAAGAAGAGAAGGATGCCACAGCCGAGCGCGGCCTTTTCCTAAGCTCCAGTGCTGTCTCCGTGCCCGAACAGGACTCCAGTGTGCTGCTACTGGTGCTGCGTGGCGTATTACTGGCCGACGAGCCGTTTTGGGGCTCGCTGCTACTCGTATTGAGCTCGCACGTGGTAGTAGCCAAAACCGGGCCCATATCCAGCTCCAGTTTCCAGGCGGCGTTGCCGTTCCTGTCAACCTTTACACAGCTACAAGTAGGAGAAACGGTAGTTGATGCAGATAGAAACGCGGCGCTGCTTAAGGAACTGGTGCCGCGCTTCACGTGGGGAGCCATCGACCTCAAGATCAAGGATATGAATGGGTGCGACTCAGTCTCGACCTACTTCGAGCAGCAGCTAGCCTCGGGCTCCACGGACGCTCAGCTTCTGTTGAGTGCTCTGGTTCCTACGAGAGACTGCGTGGTGCTCAAATCGAACTCGTTTCAGGGCCCTGAGGACCCGCACACGTCGCCCAAGCTGCTGACGCACGTGGCCGATCGATTGGAGTGCAAATCCTTCTTTGGTCGCTATTTGAACGGGTCACTACTAGCGCGACTAATTCGATCGTTGACACATGCAATGGCAGCTCCAGACGGCGTCCCTGTGGTGCTGCAGCGTGTAGTGACGAATGTACTCGCTGCGCATTGGCAGCAACTGGTGCAACGGGCGTTCAAGTCATATTGCGACCTGATGCACGCTCGACTGGCCGTATATGAACGAGCTCCTATCACTGCAGAGTATCTGGTGGATGTCACAGAGCGGAAACTTAAAGCGAACCAGTCGCAGAGCAATCAACACTCGGCTGTCGTGGATGCTGGACAGGGAGATTACTCGGTTTTCGATGAGTTTGGCAATTTAAAGAAGCAGCAAGTGTCTGATCGAGAAGGAGGGGGCAGTGCAATCACATCTAACACTCAAGCACCACTGAACACAGGCCTCTTCAGCTTCTTGAAGAATAGAGCCGGCCGTGCTCTCAGCAAACAGCTCTCACGTTTCCCCACGAACCGATGGAGTACCTCGATTAGAAGTGGAGGACAAACAACCAGTCAAGGTGAAAACGGAGAGCTTGGTGGTATCCTAGAGGATGCAGAAGCAGCGGAGGCTGACTTACACCAAGAGAATACTTCACAGACACCTGACTACCTTCTAGCACGATGCACCGCTCCCATCACGCGGTACACGGTGCCGATGGAATACCTGAACACACCTAGTGAAGCTATGCCCGTTAATACTGCTGTGCTGGATATTGTGCATGCTGAGGGCCTGGAAGAGGTGAATGCGTTGCTGAAGCCATTCCTAGTGGATCTACGAGGCCCGCCACCGTCATGGCCCGAGCTCGTCTGCTCACTGGACTTCCATGTTGGAAAGAAGAACTTGTGGGCGAAGTTGGGTCGCGTGCGAAGACGTTTTGAGCGCGCGAATGAAGTATCCTCGGCTATTTTCTGTGGTGAGTTGCTGCGTTATCTCCACTCTGTGGTACTCAGCAAGAACGAGACTGATACCGAGGCTCAACAACAGCAACAACTACGAGGTCGAGCTGTTTCTTCGATCATGTTGGTCGATAAGAAGAGTGGAAACGCACCCGTCGCGCTGACACGAGTGCCGCTGGAGTTGTTGACGTACAAGAACAACCTCGAGGCGATGGTGTCTCAATACAACTTCGTCGCGCGTGGGCCTCAGGCTGCTACTGCTCTTGCAGGGTTCCTGAATGGCCCTGTCCGCAGCCAATTGTTGTACTTGACGCAGCAAGAGTATGACCGCTTTTCGGCAGCTTGTGACGAGAAAGAGCATCGCATTGCAGAACTGGAGGATTCTCTCGACGATAAGGAGAGTCAAGTCAAGCATATCACAAAGGCGAACGCCGAGTGGGGACGTCAAGAGAGCGAGGCTGTGGCACAGATCGAGCAGACTCATGCAGAGCAGGTGAGCTCTCTACAGGGCGCAATTCGCAGTACTGAGACTCAGATCGCAAGCGCATTAGCTGAACAACAAGCTCTCTACCAAAGCACTATGCAGGCCACGAGACGCACTATCGACACCGTGGATAAGGTGGCAGATAAAGGTCGTGTGGTGTCGGGCTACCTGGAGCGCTACGAGAAGGGTCACGTTTTCTCATCACGCTGGCGACAATACTTCTACGTACTTAAACATGCAACGCTCACGTGCTACAAGTCAAAGAGTGGGTATGAAGAGCGTGGGCCTCCTTTCGAGCGTCCAATTAGCATCAGCGGCTACAGTGTCGTGCGGAGTCGTACAGATGAACTTAAGATCAAGCTGATTCCTCCTGAAGCGGGTCACCAAAAACTCCGCTTCCGCGCACCGGCCAGTGTTGGTCGTGAAACGTGGATGAAGCGGTTCACTGAAGCTGCACAGTACACCAGTCAATAATTACGGTAAATGTCTCGTGAAAATCAAAACGTAACTGCGAATTTCATGTGAAACGCAGAGGTTTGCCCAGCGAAGCAAGGAAATCGTCGCACTCTTCGGTATCTTGTTGCATATCCGGTTTGTCTGCAGGTGAAAAGCTTAAGGAAACAGGTCCTTCGAAGAAGAAATCGTGTTTAAGGGCCTGTAAGATAACACGTCGTGTTAGAAAGAAGCATCTTGTAAAAATCTTCGGCTCTTGATACCTTCCGTGCTGACAGTCTTTTACTCGGATCAAGGTCGAGCAGTTTGGACAATATATCCACTGCTGAAGCTTCAGCATCAGGGAAGAGTTTACAGAGAGGCAGAGGCTCGTATGCTGGAAACGACACTTTGTCGAAGTCTGGAAGCTCGCGTACTTCTGGCCACTGCTTCTCGATGTCACCTAGCACCTGGATAACTCGGAAGATCTGGTCGAGGTCGTTCTGTCCTGCAAATAACGGGGTGGGGCGTAGTAGCTCGGCGAATACTGTGCCCACAGACCACATATCCACCGCTGTATCATAATGTCGTGAGCCGAATAGCAACTCTGGCGCACGATACCAACGTGTGGCTACTTGATGAGAATACGAGCGTCCTCGCTGTCCCACGAATACCGTGGCGAGACCGAAGTCACTAAGTTTAAGCACTCCATCAGCACTTAGCAGCAAGTTCCCTGGCTTTAGATCTCGGTGCAATATATTGTGCTCGTGACAACAAGCGACACCATGCAGCAACATCCGCAGAAGCCCACGGACGTCAGCTGGACGCAGTGGTTCTTCCCGACTTCGCACGATACTGAGGAGGTCGGTAGGCATATACTCGAGCACTAGAGCAATGTAGCTGCCATCAGGCACTACGTCCAGCAGCTTGATGATCTACCGCGACAAGGCTATGAGCCAAACACGCGTGTCAGGAGAAAGGATGAATCGTACATTGGGATGCTGAAGCTGGCGCATCGTTTCGATCTCCTGGAACTGCGCAGCCGGTACGACAGAAAGCTGACCGTCGTCTTTCACTCGCAGCCGCTTGATGGCTCGAATCTCGCCTGAGGCCAAGTCTCTAGCGCGATGCACTTCTCCAAAGGCCCCGTTCCCGATCTTTTCTAGCAGTTCATAGCGACTTGCGAGCATCGCTACCTAGGTATGACGATTCGGATCTTCCGATATGGAAGCTATGACCTATATGACTCACAAGACATCGGTACTAAGTAAAGCATAAGCGACCTCAGTGTTCATTCGCAACTTAAATGACGCCTCTGCTAACTAAAAGAAAAAAAAGAATACAATGCCGGGTTCTTTCTTGATGCTGTCAAACTCGTTACAACTCGTTCACTAGTCCCGAGAGCCTCGTCGCCGATATGCCTGGACACCTTGCTGACCTGTCTGCTTAATGGTTGTTCTTCCACACCAGGTATCGCGTGTCGCCCAGCTTACGTGGACTCAGCTTGTGCTTGGCGAAGAATAGGATGGCCAGCACCATGCAGAGCGCACCCACGATGATGTACGCGATGCCGAGGAACGGGTTCCGGCCACCAAACCATGACGTCGTCGAGATCACGATGGATTTCTTTCCTTCGAACGTGCTTACCACAAAGTCTAGCAGCAACGTACAAAACAGCGTTAAATACAGTTTAAAACACCAAAAATAAATACAAAAACTTACTGCTGGAGACGAGGAACTCGAGCTCCGTACCCTCCGCCAGATCGGTGTCAATGCGACCGTAAAGTTTACGGAAGCTCGGCAGACCAGCCGTACGCATCCACACAATAAAGTGCTCGTCCTGTACACCGTAAGCAGGGGCATTCGTCGTCCATGCTGTCTTGTTGGTAATAGGCTCCTGGCCCTCATGCATGGGGATAATGTAGCGGTAACGCGGGTTCTGCCAGAGTAGCATCGTGTCATCAGCGTCCGAAAGATCATCCAGGTCGATGTTCTTGAATTTGGTCTCCACATCCGACTTCCAGGCGATACCGGTCTGATCCACAAGGTTCACCAGTGTCTTGCCCTCGTACGTGTCGTTCTGGTAGTACGTTCTACCGTTGTTCACGAGCTTGTTGACCCAGAAAATGTCGTTAAACAGACTGTTGGCAATCAGACCGCACGGCATCAATGTGTAGTCGGTCTCATTGTTACCGATCGCTGTCTCCGCTGTCGAGTTGTACTTGGACACACCTGTACCGGTCGTAGAAAGCGGTGAGCAATCGCTTGTACTAGCTGTGGCATCTCCACGAAGCTGTGCGTCACTGCGACTCTGCACGTAACGACGGTGGTTCTGGTAGAAGTTGTCGAGCTGATAGTACAAGTACACGGGCGCCTTCATCTCCTTCTCAATCTTAAACGTGATCCTACAGCCATGTTCCTCCACGTCAAACGAATCGCCCTCGCTCTCGTCACTCAGATAGCAGCCGCTGCCTTGATCCACGATGTTGGACGACGACGTCAGGTCCTCTCCGTCATACTGAATCGAGTATTCTACCACCTGCATGTAAATTTTAATGATTAAACCACGATAGTGATACACGGAGCGGCAGAGACGTACATTGTCCGACTCGGTATGCAGCACAATGCCGATGGGGATGAAGATGAGGCCTACGACGGCGAAGGTGCCGATGACCCAGTTGGGCGTGAGGATCGGCTGCCAGGCCTTGAGCTTCTGCTGCTTAAAGGGCGTGTCTAAAACGGTTTAAAACACAGTGCGACATGGTTAATGGGACAGTAAAAAATGAGGCTCCAGCAGCGACGCACCCTCGGGTTTCCTCGACTTCTCGTCCATAGTGGCGATGTCTCGCTCCAGGGTCTGTTTGCGCTGAAGTTGCCTTCCTCCTATGGCGTATGTCGACGCAGTGCCGACTTCCTCTCGATGCCGATGCCGCTAACAATAGGCGACGGGGGTTTCGCCGTTGTGATTGTCCCTTTGCATCAGAAGCCCATGGCTTCCCAATATCCAGTCTGGCTCGAATGAAGCCCGTACATTGGTTGAAACTGGATGATTACCGTGACTGCATTGGTCGATATTTTTAGCGACGTAATCGAACCTACACCTAATTCACACCACAGCGTGTGGACCACGTATTATTCACTCAAGCCCCGCATTAGCAGATACGACCATGAGCTATCGAGAGCGCGATGACCGCCGGGGCGGTTCCTCGTCCGGCAGATACGGCGGTGATCGGTCTCGTGACAGGCCACGTGAGCGAGACTCATACCGGCGTGACGGACGCGACGGCGCACGTGATAGGTCTCGAGACCGCGGACGTTCGGACATGGACGCACCGCGCCGCAATGAGCTCACTGGCAGCAGCCGAGACTCAACGACGGGAACATCAGAGCAGGAAGAGAGCCAGCCTAAGGCTTCCGGTGCGTGGGATCCGGCGAAGGAGGCACTGGCCGACCCCACGTGGGCCCGAATCTACATCTCGAACCTGCCCGCGGACGTCACGAGCGACGAGCTGCAAGAAATGTTCGGCGCTATCGGCGTTGTCGCCCGCGAAAAGCAGAAGCGCGGTTTCAAGGACCAGTGGCCGTTCAAGATCAAGATCTACACGGACACTGACGGACAACCCAAGGGCGATGCCGTTCTCACGTTCGAAGACTCAAACGCGGCTCGCACAGCTCCAGAATTCTTTAACGGTGCGTCACGACATTTGCAGATTATTTACACGTGCTTATTGACGCCTTTACTGCTGTTTCTGCTGCACAGGAGCGGATATCCGTGGCAAGACCATTAAGGTGGAGCTTGCTGGCAAGCCGGAGCCTCCTGTAGGAGGATGGCACGGCGGAGGCGGCGGAGGTGGTCGTCGCGGCGGTTCTGGTGGACGTTATGGAGGAGGCGATAGATATGGCGGTGGTGGCCGAGGTGGTGGGCACAGTCGATATGGCGGAGGAGGAGACCGTGACTTCCGAGACCGACCTGACCGCCGTTCACGCCCATACTGAACGCGGCAGCTCGCACGTGTCCATTAGTGCTTCTAGTGTAGCAGTCTTTATGAGCAGGTGGCGTCCAACAATAAAAATGTCCAGCATTTCAGGGGTGTCGTCCATCAATGAAGTCGTACATATCGGTGTCACGCAGTTTGCGCCCATTCGATTGGCGAAAAATACGATTTTAGCCAATCACTTATCCGATATTCAACTCAGTTCTCTTCCGTATCCTGATACTCGCCGGGCATGGGCGTCTTCAACGTTCTCGCGCTCTCCGCGGAGACGTCGGTGCTGGGCTGGTACTTCCTGGTGCCATTGGCATCTCCCGGAGGCCACGAGCTTCTTGCGCGCGACCTTCACTCACCGCTGCAGTTCCGTCAGTCCCTAGCGCCCCAAGCTCTCTTATCGCTGCTACGTTTGCTCTTCTTCGTGTACATCCGGCGTCGCAATAAGCGCGTACCGTCCACTCGCTGCTTCGTGTTCGTAGTGTCGCTACTAGAGGTGGTTGGCTGCTGTCTGGGCTCGCTACAGCCTATATTGTATCTAGACGGCCGGCAAATCGACACATTCTCCAAGCATCGCCGCGTGCGATGGGGTGGCTTCTATGTGGCTGTACTGGGCGTCATGGCCATCTTCAGTACGTTGCTCCAGCTTAGCTATATTCTGCAACTTAACAAGAGTCGGGGACGTTTGGCCGACGATAATCTGCTACGAGACGTGATGGGCGAGACTCCACGCGCCAAGTGGAGGTCCAAGTGGGCCACGCTGGGTAAGCAGCTAGCAGGCAGGCATAAACCTAAAGACCCGACGTTCGAGGCCATGGTGAGACTCTATGCGCATCAAGAAGGAGCCGTGGACCGACTCGTTGTGTCTTCAGACCGAGATGAAGCCGAGTTCGAGTTCTATCTGCCCCAACTGTGCAGCTTCTTGCTGCTGGATGCATTTTCCCGCTCTCCGCAATTGTGTGCAATGCTACTGCGTAAATGCAGCGTGTAAGTGGTTGTTTTAAGGTTTATATGAGTGGGTGAAGAGGGTTCTGACTCAAACTGTGGCTGTTTATTAGGTCCCATGTATTTGCACACAAAATGCTGTGGTACTTGCAGTCGTACTGTCTGCATAACCCAGCGTTTGCTACGGAGGCTGACTACCAGCGTGTGCAGATGCTAATTGACGACGTATCCGAACGCGGTGTGGCGCCAGCGATGGTCGTGGCTTGTCCGCCCAGTCCAGCTACCTCGGAGCACCAATCCCGAGCGAATCGCGGATCTGAGGTATCAGCTAGTGCACAGGAAGTCGAGGCTTTGTTGCCAGGCACTCAGGATGATCACTACGATACTTTCCAGGAGAATAACGACCTAGAGCGAGGACTGGCTAGATCTGCGATCGCTTCGAAAGCGTTCATCGGCGCTGGTGTGGAGCCTTTTGAGGTCGAGACGGCATTTTTGGGCTCTTTGGCCAACATTTCGTCGAATTTGCGTGCTGTGGCGTACAACCGGCGCAACGATATGGTGAGTTGTGGGATTTTATCACAATGCTTCCTTTATTTTACTCATTTTTGCTATGTTTTTTATGTAAATAGCTTCGTATCTGGCTGCAAGACTTAGAAGCTCAGTACCTGCCTAACAACTCACTGTATCTTCCCGTAGGGAACTCGTTTCACCGACTCAAGCACGTCCATGTGGATGAGAGCTTTACCTTCTCGACGCGAGAGCGCGTGCCGTTTCTGCTTTGTGCTGAGGTCGTCGACTACCCCTCTCCACAAGAAGAACGACTCAAGCGACGCAGCAACAGCGTATTCAATGGTAGACGCTTCACGCTCAGTTTATGGGATTCGGCCAGCACTCAAGACATGACAACAGCGTCCACACCTGCGGAACGCACGCCATTGATGTCTCCGGATGCTGCCAAACTGGGGTTCTGGAGCGAATCACGTACACCTAGCAGTCCAACAAGACTCCGCTCGTTCTCACACCATATTTCGAATAAAATGGTGCAACCGACTGAGCTGCTGCACGGACTGATCGACTCCCTGGTTGGTAAGACTCCGGGCGGGAAGAATCTGGACCCCAAGAGTGTGGCTTTACTCAGTAAAGTTGACGACGAATGTGGAGAGGATGTACCCAAGCGATTCCGCGAGTTGCCAGAGAGAAGTCAGAGCCAGCCTTTCTTCAAGAGTGAAGCATCTATTAAACCAGGTCTGACGGTAGACACAAGCGCGTCGGGGCTTCGGCCTACGCTGTCGGCACAGACGGTCCCTGCGTCCATCGTTCCAGTCACTACAGACATTGATGACATGGATTCTGTAAGCAGCGTCAGCGGTGCGTGGTCTCCCAAGTCAGACACAGTGATGTCGCCTCGGTCGGAGACTTCAGCAGCTTCACCGCATCATCTCGCGCGCTTTGACAGTACCGATCGGTTTTTGCAGGATTTATCCGAACGTGACTCGAAACTCGAGGAAGAAGAAGCTGAGGCCAATGATCCCTCTTCGGAATCCCGCAACCAAGCGGTTGGGGAGCCACTTGTCATATTTAAGGAGCGTTGGGCTGAAAAGGAACGTCGTATACAAGCGATATCTCCCTACGGCAAACTACCGGGCTGGAGATTGCTGCCTGTGATCGTTAAAAGCGACGACGATCTCCGTCAAGAGCAGTTAGCGTTGCAACTGATTCATCAGTTTGCCAAGGTATTTGAAGAGTTCCAAGTGCCGGTCTTCATCCGGCCGTACGATGTGATCGCCATCTCCGCCACCTCTGGTCTTGTGGAAGCCATCTCGGACACGATCTCCATTGACTCGTTGAAGCGCAATGACCGCGAGTTCACGACGCTGTTGGACTTCTTTACTCGCCATTTCGGAGATCCAAGTACACCTGAATTCCATAAAGCCCGAGCCAACTTTGTCAGCAGCATGGCTGGGTACGCGATCGTGTGTTATCTACTTCAGATCAAGGACCGTCACAACGGGAACATTCTGTTGGATGCTGAGGGCCACATTATCCATATCGACTTTGGCTTCATCCTGTCCAACAACCCGGGCAACATGGCCTTCGAGCAGGCTCCTTTCAAGCTCACGGCCGATTTTGTGGAGCTCATGGGCGGTCCTCGTTCTGCGCACTTCCGGCGGTTCCGGTCTCTGTGTGTACGCTCGTTCCTAGTGGCTCGGAAGTATCGTCACCGCTTTGTGTTGCTCGTGGAGATGATGTTGCACGGCAACGAACACTTGCCGTGCTTTGCCGGAGACCCCAAGGGCACAGTTGAACGTCTCGCCGCTCGCTTCCAGCCAGACTTGGACATCAACTCGTGCGAGGACTTCGTGCACGAACTGATTGACGCGTCCCTGGACAACTGGCGCACACGCTGGTACGACAAGTATCAGCGCTGGATCGTTGGTGTCTTCTAAGCGACCGCGTGCTCGAGATAAAAGACCACGAAAGATTATAACTTCTAGGTATAAGCCCGGCAGTCGGCATCACCAATTCAGACCTCTTTGTATCGATGAAACGACGCGTCTGTTGCTGCTTCAGGACACTCGTCCGTGCCCGTCGACGTCTTGCAGTATGATGGACCCGAACATGACCCGGCGGGCTCGAGCCGAGCAGAAGAAGAAGATCAAGGCTGCTAAGCGCAAGCTCGAGTCCGGATGGAAGCCTGGGAGATCAAAGCGTCGAAAGCAGAAAGCTGCTGCGATGATCCAACGTGTGTACAGGTCGCATATGTTGCGTCGGGCCTTCCAACGTTCTCGACACCACGTGCGCTTCACGTTCACGTCATTGCAAGCGTTTGGTCATGCTCGAAGCCGTCAGCATTGGCGCAATATTGACTTAAGGAGACTGTCACGTGAGGAGCTGAGACTTCTAGCTCTGACACTCAATTTACCGTCTACAGGTAAAAAGGTGCTGCTGATCTGTCGGATACAACGTTGGGTAGACCAACACGTGTTGGGTGGTGATATAGCGGCACAAGCTGCTGCTCGAGCTCTTGAGAACCGTCGAAAAGCTCAAGGTAGCGTCTTCTTCTATGAAGCTCATCCTGGAGCGGATCTCGTTGACATCCGGCCATTGCGAGGTCACCACATCACGAGCGTCGCAGCGGTACGCCGCTTTCAATTTATGCTCCCAGGTTTATTTTATATTGACAGACTTGGTGCGTGCAGGGCTCTGAATCGGATGCTGTATATGCGTTGGATGGTGCTCGAGGTGCTGCGTGGTTGTGTCGGACGGGAGGGTTAGCGTCACAAGTTGGACTGTGCAGCCAGATTCATCGACGTGATGAGTTCGAGTCGACACCAAGAGAAAGTCACTGGCTTGCTACGCCCGTCTTCTTGCATACACTGCGAGCTGAACATGTCGAACGCGTGTATGTAGCACGAGGCCATGCGATGGCGCTGGCCAAGGCTGGTGAGCTGTTCAGCTGGGGCGACAACGCACACGGAGCGTTAGGTTTTCCAGCCGAAAATGCAGCACAGGTAGCTCGAAACCGTGCGACGGTGGTCGGTGCACTCTCCAACTACCAAGCCGTGGCGGCTGCTGTTGGAGGACACCATAGTATCGCTGTCTGTGACCACGTTGCAGGCCACGATGGCGTGGTCTTCTGTTGGGGCAGCAACTCACACGGCCAACTCGGTATTATCCCTTCAAGCTTTAATAAACCCGCTGATGCACCAGCCAAGCCTTCACCTACGACATTTCCTCGTTCAGCCGTGATGCACCAGGTCGCAGCACTTCGCTCCGTTTCAGTGCGTCAAGTGGCATGTGGAGTGCTGCACTCGTTGGCGTTAACTTCAGACGGACAGGTGTTCTCTTGGGGCTGTAGCGATGGCGGACGATTGGGCCAAGGGCAAGATACCAAGCGTAGTAGTGACATCAGAGAGCCTGCTCTTGTGAATGGAATACTCGCGAACCTTGTCACTCTTACCATTGCTTGTGGAGCCTGGCAAAGTGCATGTATCGCAGCAGAAGCTTCACAGGTTACAAGTGGCGCTGGTCGAGTCTATACGTGGGGTACAGGTGTGTATGGTCAGCTTGGTGTTGGGAAAGCACAAGTCGCGTACGAACCACAACCTGTACGTGTGCCACCGCGTGAACTGGACGACGAAGTGTTCGCTACACGTCTCGCATGCGGAACACACCACACGGCTGTGTTGACAGTCGATAACCGCATCTTCACGTGGGGTAGTACACGTGCATTCAATGGCGTTCCAGCCGAATTGCGCTTATTAGGTGGCAAGCGCTTTGGACGCGTTGTGTCACTCGCTTGTGGACGTACATTCACTGTATTTAACACAGTGTCCCGAGACTCCGCTAGCTACGAGTGGCCTGAAGTACCACGTCTATGGCGTGATAAACCTGTCATTATACCGCGTCTGGATCTCTCGCAAGTACCGACCTTGCCGTTGTGTACATCGAACCCGTTGCCTCCGTTTAGCAAAGGCACGAAAGCTGTGAAGTTTTCTTGTGAACTCCCGTCGCTTGTGCGTCTTGAACCATTCGCCGATCGCCGCGCTCGAGAGGAAGAAGAATTTCTTGAAGCCAAACGTATTGACGATATTGACATCGAAACAATCGTCCACCCGTTGTGTCGACTGTGCTGGCGCTGCGATGGATTCCAACCTTCTCCTTTGCGCTTGTGGATGTGCCGTAACTGTGCACATGAACGTCAACTCCATGGAACAAGAAAGCCTGGAGTTCCTATGGGTGAATACGAAGCTGTGCGCAAGCTCCAATGTCTCTTTCGTGCACGACGTGCTCGACGGGTTCTACAACGTGCTCGTGAACAGCGGTACCAGAAAATCTTCAGCATTGAGCACAACGAGTTCTTCTACTACAACCTGTGGCAGGGCAAGAAATCGTGGACTCGACCAAAAGAAATCAGCGAAGGGTTCGAAGTCCCGATCCGTGATCCGGACGCTTCGCCGCGGATATTCCCTCCGCTCACACCTGTCGAAGCAGCTATCAAACTGCAAGCAGTACGGCGAGGTCTTCAAGCTCGACGCTTAGTCTTAAACTTGCTGCGTGATCGATACGAAAAGCACTTTGATTTAGAGAAGGAACGTGTGTATTACGTGCGAAAATTGGCAAGCAAAAAGGAGTCGCCGCCGAAGTTGTGGGATCCGCCGCCATTGCTCCGTAAGCGATACGATCTGGGTGATCCTGTCGAGATACAACGACTGGCCAAGTTCGCTACCATGACGCACGATGAAGCTGCTCGGATCGTTCAGCACGCGTACCGATGCCATCGAGGTCGTGAGTTCATGCGTCGTATTCTGCGTTCGCGTATCAAGAAACTCTGGGACGCAACGACCGGGAGGTTCTATTACTACAACGCCACTACTAAGGAATCGTCCTGGGAGAAACCCCGACTTCTGCTTAATGAGGCCGACGACGAACTTGGATCTACGACTGGTCATCATCAAAAACCAGCCCAGGGACGTCGACGAGTAGCAGTCACGTTGAGACCAGAGAAATTCCACAACGAGGAAGCCGCCGCGCGCACGATTCAAGCGTTGTACCGACGATTCACAACGCGTAAGATGCTTCTCCAGTTGATCACTCGCCGATATCGTAAAATACTGGACCCGGTATCTGGTCAACCATACTACTACGACTGTGTTTTGGGCACTGCAACCTGGTTTAAACCTGCAGTGTTTGGTGACTACGATCTTGAACTCGTGGACGACTCGACTGTATCTCCTTCCGGTAGACGACAAAGCACACTTGTAGCTCCTCAATCGTCAGTCTTGTACTCTGTAAGGAAGTTGCCACGCATCAGTGAGCGTGCTCGTCTCAAGCGACATAAACGAAGACTACAGCGTCTTCGGCAAATGTCACGCGATGAAGCTGCTTCGCGTCTGCAGCGGATGTGGCGAATCCGTCGCGCCAGAGAAGAACTACGCGAATTACTGTTCGACGCGTACGAGAAGATCTACGACCCCACCACGGAACACTTCTACTACTACAACCGCAAGACTGGCGTCGCAAAGTGGGAAAAACCCGCTCTACTCGTAGGCGACGGTCGAGATATCAAAGAGACGAAAATCATCAAGAGACGACGCTCCCACACAGTCACAACGCCCTATGAAGCCAAGCACGTCCTGTTCACATTCATGCGCTGTGCCGTCGCACGACTTGAACTCCACCGTCTTCTACGCGAGCGTATCCAGAAAGTTTTTGACCCCAACTCACGACAGTATTATTATTTTGATAAACTTACCGGCCAGTCCTCGTGGAAAAAGCCTGTGACGCTCAGAGGATACGACCTGTCTCCCGTGTAAGAAAAACAGCTTGGAGCTACGGAACGGGTTGACACGAGTAATGTAGCAGTGCTCCAGTGGGTAACCGCACAAAGGTGTCGACGCCAAGCTTCTTGCCACACGAGTGGCAGCTCTGGGATGACCACACTGTGACCGATCCCTTTCGCTTTGTAGAGAGCTGTTCTCGAACTTTGAAGTTCTCCATCTTTGATAATTGTTTCTTCACTTGTCCGTTGCGGAACCGCTCGACCTGGCGCTCTAGAACACGACGGAAGAAACCAGCCAATGGTGCCGCGGGGACATCGGCCGGTAAGAGTTCAAGCGCAGTGGATACGTCGATACGCTCCGCATACTTGTTCAACACGTTGATGGCTGCGTTCACGGCTTCACTCTGCGAGCCAGAGCTGGTTGACCGGTAAGGTTTCGGCGGTGAGCCAACGATTGCCGACGCCGTGCCGGACCCTGCTTGTGTGTGATACTGTGGACGCAGGTAGATCTTCAACAGCGTCGAATAGATAGAGGAATCCGCCGTCTTGGACTCGTAGCAGCGGTTGCAGTACGCCTCGGCCAGAGCAGCGTCCTTCAACTCCAGAGCATACAACTGAAGTACTTCCAAGTGACGTCCGAGCTTCGATAGTAGCGCTGCATGTTCATCCACCATTTCAGTAGGCGTACGACTCAACATTCGCTCGGGGTGGAAAACAGCGCCAGGAAACTCGAGGAACTCGAGTAGTTTGCGCCGTAACAGCCCCGTCATGCCACGTTGGGACTCCACACGACTCGTAAGACGTTGCCTTTGGGCTTGGATCAAATCCAGCAACAGATACACCACTTCGTCATGCAGTCGCGGTGTCAGTTGACAAGTTCCTTCATAGATCACTTGTGTAAGATACTCGATCGCCAGCATTTGGCTGCTGGTCAATGGCAATGCCGGCTTCTCCGCACCACCTTCGCTTCCCAGTTGTGTTCCATCAGAGCTGGGGGCAATCGAACAACTCTTTAAATGCTGAAGCACTGCAGATGGGTCGATATCTTTGTTGGCGTCAGAAACTTCACGCTGCGTAAAGATCGTAAGCCCCAAAGCCGGATTCACCGACAATACACGTCTCGAGAATTCAAACACCAGCTCCGCATGTTTCCTACCCAACACTCGAAGATACTGTGCAATAAGGACCATGTAGTCGTGTGAAGATTGTAGCTCTCCTGTGTCTTCACTTTTGTCCGAGAGTGCAGCTGCTGATGCTGCACTACGTTCCAGGTCTTCCAACAACTCAAGAGCCTTACGGTGCAGCTTCCGCGCAGAGTAAAACGCCAGAAGAGCCTTGAAACGTCCATGAGCACGCAGGAAAACCTCCGCTTCGCCGATCTCACACCAATTCTGGTCAGTGACCACCTCGAGCAGTGTACGCTTCGCTCGCTCTTGGTACTCTTCTTTCTCCGCCACCACAACGAGACACTTGACCAGCATGGTATCAATCAGCTCCAGTGCACTCTCTTCATTGGGACCAAAGCTGCTGACACGAAGACCCAACATCGACTCGCTTTCGTGATGCAAATAAGCATTGCGCTTACGACGCAGGAACCCGGTAAGAGCGAGCAGACTCTCCACCAACTCTTCACCTTCCAGAGTTCGGTTCTTGTTATTGTTGTTGTCTTTGCGTAGTGCGCTGGTCTTGCGAGGCAGGAGGTTACGCGGGAATAACAACAACACTTCCATCACGTCGATCTCGCTCTCGAACAAGAAATTCATGGCGTCCTGTCGCCTTCCCGATCGGAACAGGTCGAAGCCGTAATCCGCGTACAGTTTTCGTTGATCAGCGTCACTCAGCGGACTCTCCTCGGGGCAAAGCTTGCAGAGTGCGACGGCATCCTCTAGACGCCGATTCCCCATGGACGCGGCGACTTGCTGTGCAATCGGCAGCATCTGATGCGTCTGGACATTAAACGGTGGCGACACAGTAAAGAGAGTCGCAGGCCGGTCGTCTCGAATGTTTGCGTACGCATCTACCAGAGTTGCCGACGCTACGTTGATAGCAGCACAGACGCCGTAAGGAGCTTTGACCGGTATTGTCTGCATCAGTTGTAGAGATCCGAAGTTATATACTGCGATCTGCTCCGTCTGGTCTAGTAGCAGCAGCGGATGATGGTGATACGCGCCACGTGGAGGCGCATTGTAGGCGATTTTCCTCTCCACCTTCACGCACAATTGACTAGCCGACACGTCGAGTGCTTTTCCCTCGCTCTCATCTAGTTTTCTGTCTTCAAACGCACCATACTCGTCCTCATCGTCTTCGACCACGTCGTTCTCTTCGTTAATTGTTAAGATGACTGCGTGGTGTTTACCACAGAGTAACAAGTCCAGTACGTGCTGTCGTCGACGCGCCAGGAAGCGACTGGGCAGTGCCAGAGCGTCGCACACCCCGATGGAACCTTCCAGAGCTTCAGTTATCTGCTGCGTCACATCTGGAGAGACGTTTAGCGTCCGGCCACTGTCCAGACTGAGCACAGCCCATTGTTTCTTGCCCTGAATGAACACGTGACTCTCGCTGAGCATCACGAGCTGCTGCACAGGCGCTAGAGACGGCGGCAATTCGTGCTGTGCACGCGGCTCCAAAATTCGATTCACGCTCCAGTCAAAGACTTTCAGAGTGTTGGTCTTGAGTAGAACGCACAGTGTTTTGGCCTCCTCGTGGGTGGCGAAGAGTATGGCACCTTTGGTGTCCTCCCTGTCGAGTAACTGCGGGTCACTCTGTAGTGGCAGGTCTACGAGCTTCAAGCGGTTGTCGGTCAACGTGATGAAGACTCCCCAGTGGTCTAGAAAGACACAGCATGCGTGGAACAGCCGCTTGTTGTCCGCCTGCCAACGTAGAACGCCCGCACGGCCGTCAGATACGTAACTGCGTAAGTTTCCATCCGACGAGCCGACAAAGAGAAGTGGGGACAAGTCGCCCCGGACACGTAGGCTGCAGAGAAGACGCTCGGTCTGGTTTGGCCGCTTAGGTGGGCCTTCCACCTCCACAGTGACGCCGGCCGCGTACGCCGCACCAGGCGCGTGATCCGAGCTCATCAAGAATGGATAAAGATACGTGCTGAAATCGATAAAAGCGTGGTGCAGTAATCTAAAAAAACAAATGTCTTTACAGGGTTTTAACATTAAAATTGTGCTATTACAGGGTTTTAGCATTAAAATGGTGCTATTACAGAGTTTTAATATTAAAATGGTGCTATTGGTACATGTACATGTAATTGTTCTTTCAGTAAGAAATAAAAAAGCTGAATGAGAAATTCACCCAGACCAACAAAAAGTTTTAAAACCCGGTGTTTTTCTGACTTAAACACGAGCTGCGTGACACTATCTCTCCACAGGCCAAGACAAAGGCAAAGGAGTTGCCAACGCTACCTAAACACCGAGCTGCAGTCGGCGGTGGCGGTCAAGAAGGCGGCCGAGACAAACGCACCTACTTTCTCGAAGAAGATAACCAAGACGATGACAAACTGCAAGACATCAGCGCAACAGCGGACGTTGCGGACGACTGTGCAGCAGAACATCAACATGCCACGCAAGTCGAGGATGCACGAGATCGACGAAAAGAACGCTCCGAAGACCAGCGGAAAGAGCGCTCCAGTTTGCGTACCGCAATTTTTATTTTAATTTCTTCTAAATACACTTTGACGTTTGATCGAAATTGAACAGGCACATTTCGGTGATCGATCAATTCCAGCACTAGGATATCCAAAGATCCTTTTCGCTATTCAAGCGATGGCGGGGTCGATACGTGGATTCGCGTGGCTGTTGCTGCTATCACATGTGCTCTCGTGCCTACAAGTTTCAGATGCAGCGTGTGCCAACTCGTGCTCCGGTCATGGTCGATGCGGCTCTTCCAAGTGCGAGCGACTCCATTAAACAAATGATGAAAACAATATTATCCTTACTGCAACTCATGTTTCTTGCACTGTCGCTTGTAGTCAATGCACATGTGATCCCGACTGGGCCTTAGCACCCGACTGTTCTATGCGTAAATGCCCCAACGGTGTGGCTTGGACGGACAAGGCGAAGACGGCCAATGTGGCTCATGCAAAGGCCGAGTGCTCTAATCGCGGAGTCTGCGATTACTTTAAGGTACTTTTGACCAGGTAATGAATTCCACGGTCTTTACAAAAGGTTAACGTGAGTTGTGATTAGGGAGAATGCACGTGCTTTAATGGATTCACAGGGGCTGCCTGTCAACGACGTGCGTTGTGACACAAAAACTACCCCTTTGCTATACTTAACCGTATGGTTTGGTGTGTAGTTCGTTGCCCGTCAGATTGTTCAGGCCACGGATTATGCTATTCCTCAGCAACGCTAGCATTACAGTACGGTCCGGACTCGCCGCCCAGTGTTGCTGGTGATGGTGTTGGACCAGTGTACTCCAATTGGGAGAAAGACAGCATGTCAAGTTGTCTGTGCGATATGGGCTACACGGGGCCAGATTGCTCTCAGCGTACGTTGCAAACGTCTTGAGGGTTTGATACGTATTCTAACTGGTGATATTTGCAGTAATGTGTGCGAAGAACGATGACCCTCTCACAACAGGCCAAGGGCTCCGAACAATTCACATTCAAGTCGGAGCAGACGCATCAACTAACCTCCCGCTTGTAGGCTCGGTTCGAGTCCGTTTGCTTGGAGATGCCGCGGAGTTCAGCGCCGTCGCAGTTGCCGATGCAGCTCATGAACAGGCGTGCGCACAAGCGTTTCAGAGTATGCGCACGGTGTTGACGGCAACGTGTACGATCACAAGTGTGGATCCAGTTACTGCAGGAGCGATTTACACGGTGACATTCAAGGAGTGGGTGCATCTGGGTGGAGAGAATAACCTGCTGTATCACGACGGAAACCCGCCATTGACGAGCTTTTCCTGTGACCTGACCAAAGTGACAAGCCTCAACTCGCCTACTTGTGCTGTCACTGATGTCACGGCCACCAACATTATCGGTACGCACTTCTCACTTACCTTGTTGCATTGCGGAGAGCTAATCCGCGTTGTGGGTTATGTATTTTAGAGCATGTGTATTGCTCCAACCGTGGTCTTTGTGACTTTACTACAGGTCATTGTGTGTGTTATGCCGACTTTAAAGGCCTGGACTGTAATCAACCTTCTAACGTTCCGGATAGTATCGATGATAACGACGGATTTATCATCAATCCGTTGGGACTCACGTACACGGGCACCGTTCTGCACTTGAAGACGGCAAAAGGCTCGCAGGCGGACTTCTACTTTATGAAGATTAGTTCTTCCACGTTACCGATTCTTACGATGAACGGTATGGGAGATACGAAGCTTCTGAATGGAAATCTCCAGCTCTCGACGGGCTCGTTGACGATAACTACGATCGCTCAAACGTCTACAGCCGCGGATATTGCGAACACGCACGCTACGTTTACAGGGACCGCGTTGAAGATCCGAACTAGTAGAGCATCGAGCAATGCGTTTAAGCTGCTAGAGGCGATGACGGGCGACATAACCACTGTCGTCGAGATTCGAGGAGACGGTCTCACCACCATTTACACGGGCGGATTGTATGTTGTGACGGGGGGAGGAACGATCTCGCATACGTTGGACGGCCCCAGTCTTACCGTCACCAATTCGTATAACTTCTTTACCAACTCGCTCCTCAAACTTAGTACGTCACGAGCAAGTCGCTTCCCGACGGCAACTGATTTCGTGCTGATCGAGGCTACAGCGAATAATGTTCCAGCGTTCACAGTGGAGGCTTCTGGAAGAACTACAATTGCGGATGGAGGACTTGTCGTGAATGGACTGGGAGGAGCGCAGATTTCGAACTCGGATCCTGCAGCTTCTGCGCTCATTGTGAGCGCTACGGGGACCAATTTCGCTGGCGATGCTGTGGCGGTGAAGACGTTTTCTAATGTGGCGCACAATATGCTAAAGGTCACAACTAAAGTCGGTATCAGTCCAGCTATCGACTTGTTTACCATCAGTAACTCCGGACTTACGACTATCACGCAAGGAGGGCTTCATGTTGTAACAGGAGGGGCTACAATTGATACGGGTGGACTGCATGTAGGGTATGGAGGCGAGACTATCGACTTTGGAGGTCTGCGCGTTAAGGATGGAGGCGGAACTATTGAGTTGGGAGGGCTGAATGTGATTGACGGCGGTGGAAAAATTGCGTCGAAATCGGCTGTGTCAGATATCCTCGCGATTGAAGCTACGTCTACTTCATTCTCCAACAATGCCAGGGTATTGTACATCAACTCAAAATCTACGGTAGCTCCTTCCATTAGCATGCATTACCTCGTCGAAGCGACGGTAGGTGCATTGGCCACTTCCGTGTTCAGGGTGGACGCGACCGGGTTGACCACGATTGCAGGCCAAGGCAGCGGTGGAGCCATCATTTCCGACAAAGCCACCGGCACGACCAGTACGCTCGCACTCTCCAATACGGCCAGTTCGGGATTCTTAGGCTCGCTACTGTCCATGAGCGCAACGTCCTCGGACAAGCAATATACGTTCATCAGCGGCAAAGTAGGTGCCACGTCGGTGTTCACCGTGGCCGCGTCCGGGTTGACCACAATCGCGGGACTAGGCAGCGGCGGAGCCATCATTTCCGATACCGGGACCACGGACAACACGCTCGCGCTCACGAACACAGCCACTAGCTTCGACAAGACGATGCTCGCAATGACCTCCTCGGACACAGACGCCGCTACTGTCTTCTCGTTTATAGATGCCAGGCTGGCATCGCCGGCAACGTCCGTATTCACGGTGGATGGGTCTGGGTTGACAACGATTGTAGGCCAAGGCAGCGGCGGAGCCATCATTTCCGACAAAGCCACCGGTACGACCAGTACGCTCGCACTCTCCAATACGGCCAGCTCGGGATTCTTAGGCTCGCTACTGTCCATAAGCGCAACGTCCTCGGACAAGCAATATACGTTCATCAGCGGCAAAGTAGGTGCCACGTCGGTGTTCACCGTGGCCGCGTCCGGGTTGACCACCATCGCGGGACAAGGCAGCGGCGGAGCCATTATTTCCGATACCGGGACCACGGATAATACGCTCACGCTGATCAATTCGGCCACCGCCTTGGACAACACGGTGCTCGCCTTGAACGCCGCGGACACGGACGGCACCGTCTTCTTGTTTATCGATGCCAAGTTGACGGCCACGTCCACTACCGTCTTCAAGGTGGACGCAAACGGGCTTGACCACCATCGCAGCCGGAGGACTCAAGGTCAGTGCTGGTGGGGCAACCGTCACAGCAGGAGGCTTGAGCGTTGTAAGCGGTGGGGCAACCGTCACAGCCGGGGGACTCACTGTGACCGCTGGTGGTCTCACGGTGACTGACGGAGGAGCTGCCATTTCCAAAACCACCGATGCGGCCACGCTCACGCTGACCAATTCGGCCACCGCCTTGGCCAACACGGTACTCGCCTTGAACGCCGCGGACACGGACGGCACCGGCTTCTTGTTTATCGATGCCAAGTTGACGGCCACGTCGACTACCGTCTTCAAGGTGGACGCAACCGGCTTGACCACCATCGCAGCCGGAGGACTCAAGGTCAGTGCTGGTGGGGCAACCGTCACAGCAGGAGGCTTGAGCGTTGTAAGTGGTGGGGCAACCGTCACAGCCGGGGGACTCACTGTGACCGCTGGTGGCCTCACGGTGACTGACGGAGGAGCTGCCATTTCCAAAACCACCGATGCGGCCACGCTCACGCTGACCAATTCGGCCACCGCCTTGGCTAACACGGTGCTCGCCTTGAACGCCGCGGACACGGACGGCACCGGCTTCTTGTTTATCGATGCCAAGTTGACGGCCACGTCCACTTCCGTCTTCAAGGTGGACGCAACCGGTTTGACCACCATCACAGCAGGAGGCTTGAGCGTTGTAAGTGGTGGGGCAACCGTCACAGCCGGGGGACTCACTGTGCCCGCTGGTGGCCTCACGGTGACTGACGGAGGAGCTGCCATTTCCAAATCAACGGACGCGGCAACGCTCACGCTGACCAATTCGGCCACCGCCTTGGCCAACACGGTGCTCGCCTTGAACGCCGCGGACACGGACGGCACCGGCTTCTTGTTTATCGATGCCAAGTTGACGGCCACGTCCACTTCCGTCTTCAAGGTGGACGCAACCGGTTTGACCACCATCACAGCAGGAGGCTTGAGCGTTGTAAGTGGTGGGGCAACCGTCACAGCCGGGGGACTCACTGTGACCGCTGGTGGTCTCACGGTGACTGACGGAGAAGCTGCCATTTCCAAAACCACCGACGCGGCAACGCTCACGCTGACCAATTCGGCCACCGCCTTGGCCAACACGGTGCTCGCCTTGAACGCCGCGGACACGGACGGCACCGGCTTCTTGTTTATCGATGCCAAGTTGACGGCCACGTCCACTACCGTCTTCAAGGTGGACGCAACCGGCTTGACCACCATCGCAGCCGGAGGACTCAAGGTCAGTGCTGGTGGGGCAACCGTCACAGCAGGAGGCTTGAGCGTTGTAAGCGGTGGGGCAACCGTCACAGCCGGGGGACTCACTGTGACCGCTGGTGGTCTCACGGTGACTGACGGAGGAGCTGCCATTTCCAAAACCACCGACGCGGCAACGCTCACGCTGACCAATTCGGCCACAGCCTTGGCCAACACGGTGCTCGCCTTGAACGCCGCGGACACGGACGGCACCGGCTTCTTGTTTATCGATGCCAAGTTGACGGCCACGTCCACTACCGTCTTCAAGGTGGACGCAACCGGCTTGACCACCATCGCAGCCGGAGGACTCAAGGTCAGTGCTGGTGGGGCAACCGTCACAGCCGGGGGACTCACTGTGACCGCTGGTGGTCTCACGGTGACTGACGGAGGAGCTGCCATTTCCAAAACCACCGATGCGGCCACGCTCACGCTGACCAATTCGGCCACCGCCTTGGCCAACACGGTGCTCGCCTTGAACGCCGCGGACACGGACGGCACCGGCTTCTTGTTTATCGATGCCAAGTTGACGGCCACGTCCACTTCCGTCTTCAAGGTGGACGCAACCGGTTTGACCACCATCACAGCAGGAGGACTCAAGGTCAGTGCTGGTGGGGCAACCGTCACAGCCGGGGGACTCACTGTGACCGCTGGTGGCCTCACGGTGACTGACGGAGGAGCTGCCATTTCCAAAACCACCGACGCGGCCACGCTCACGCTGACCAATTCGGCCACAGCCTTGGCCAACACGGTGCTCGCCTTGAACGCCGCGGACACGGACGGCACCGGCTTCTTGTTTATCGATGCCAAGTTGACGGCCACGTCCACTACCGTCTTCAAGGTGGACGCAACCGGCTTGACCACCATCGCAGCCGGAGGACTCAAGGTCAGTGCTGGTGGGGCAACCGTCACAGCCGGGGGACTCACTGTGACCGCTGGTGGTCTCACGGTGACTGACGGAGGAGCTGCCATTTCCAAAACCACCGATGCGGCCACGCTCACGCTGACCAATTCGGCCACCGCCTTGGCCAACACGGTGCTCGCCTTGAACGCCGCGGACACGGACGGCACCGGCTTCTTGTTTATCGATGCCAAGTTGACGGCCACGTCCACTTCCGTCTTCAAGGTGGACGCAACCGGTTTGACCACCATCACAGCAGGAGGCTTGAGCGTTGTAAGTGGTGGGGCAACCGTCACAGCCGGGGGACTCACTGTGACCGCTGGTGGTCTCACGGTGACTGACGGAGGAGCTGCCATTTCCAAAACCACCGACGCGGCCACGCTCACGCTGACCAATTCGGCCACCGCCTTGGCCAACACGGTGCTCGCCTTGAACGCCGCGGACACGGACGGCACCGGCTTCTTGTTTATCGATGCCAAGTTGACGGCCACGTCCACTACCGTCTTCAAGGTGGACGCAACCGGCTTGACCACCATCGCAGCCGGAGGACTCAAGGTCAGTGCTGGTGGGGCAACCGTCACAGCCGGGGGACTCACTGTGACCGCTGGTGGTCTCACGGTGACTGACGGAGGAGCTGCCATTTCCAAAACCACCGACGCGGCAACGCTCACGCTGACCAATTCGGCCACCGCCTTGGCCAACACGGTGCTCGCCTTGAACGCCGCGGACACGGACGGCACCGGCTTCTTGTTTATCGATGCCAAGTTGACGGCCACGTCCACTACCGTCTTCAAGGTGGACGCAACCGGCTTGACCACCATCGCAGCCGGAGGACTCAAGGTCAGTGCTGGTGGGGCAACCGTCACAGCAGGAGGCTTGAGCGTTGTAAGTGGTGGGGCAACCGTCACAGCCGGGGGACTCACTGTGACCGCTGGTGGTCTCACGGTGACTGACGGAGGAGCTGCCATTTCCAAAACCACCGACGCGGCAACGCTCACGCTGACCAATTCGGCCACCGCCTTGGCCAACACGGTGCTCGCCTTGAACGCCGCGGACACGGACGGCACCGGCTTCTTGTTTATCGATGCCAAGTTGACGGCCACGTCCACTACCGTCTTCAAGGTGGACGCAACCGGCTTGACCACCATCGCAGCCGGAGGACTCAAGGTCAGTGCTGGTGGGGCAACCGTCACAGCAGGAGGCTTGAGCGTTGTAAGTGGTGGGGCAACCGTCACAGCCGGGGGACTCACTGTGACCGCTGGTGGCCTCACGGTGACTGACGGAGGAGCTGCCATTTCCAAAACCACCGATGCGGCCACGCTCACGCTGACCAATTCGGCCACCGCCTTGGCCAGCACGGTGCTCGCCTTGAACGCCGCGGACACGGACGGCACCGGCTTCTTGTTTATCGATGCCAAGTTGACGGCCACGTCCACTTCCGTCTTCAAGGTGGACGCAACCGGTTTGACCACCATCACAGCAGGAGGCTTGAGCGTTGTAAGCGGTGGGGCAACCGTCACAGCCGGGGGACTCACTGTGACCGCTGGTGGTCTCACGGTGACTGACGGAGGAGCTGCCATTTCCAAAACGACCGACGCGGCCACGCTCACGCTGACCAATTCGGCCACAGCCTTGGCCAACACGGTGCTCGCCTTGAACGCCGCGGACACGGACGGCACCGGCTTCTTGTTTATCGATGCCAAGTTGACGGCCACGTCCACTACCGTCTTTAAGGTGGACGCAACCGGCTTGACCACCATCGCAGCCGGAGGACTCAAGGTCAGTGCTGGTGGGGCAACCGTCACAGCAGGAGGCTTGAGCGTTGTAAGTGGTGGGGCAACCGTCACAGCCGGGGGACTCACTGTGACCGCTGGTGGCCTCACGGTGACTGACGGAGGAGCTGCCATTTCCAAAACCACCGATGCGGCCACGCTCACGCTGATAAATTCGGCCACCGCCTTGGCCAACACGGTGCTCGCCTTGAACGC